ACGAGCTACAGAAACGTCTTAATCAAAATGCCTTTTCTGCTTCCTTGCAGCCAGCGGCCTAATGGCCACCCTGCCTCGGCTTCCTTCAAGTGCACCTCGCGCTGCAACCAGCCTGCGAGCCCCGGATGCAAAGTCTGTGTGCGACCAGGGACCCGCCCGCCTTAGTAATTATCTGGCAGGGATCAATTTAATACTCTTGGGTCTCGGCAGGAGACGCTTTGTCAAAGGCTTTTATTTTTGGGGAGTGCATGATTCAGCTCCTTTATCTCACTCTCCTCATCAGACCATGAGGCCAGGCTGGGTCAGAGCAAAGGTCCCTCCAACCCAGTGTCCTGTCTTCCCACAGTTAGGGTTGCCAGATGGTTTAACAAAAAATACCAACAGCCCCCCCCCCAAAAAAAAACCTTGAAAAAATCTGTTGAGGAAAAAAAAAGGGGGGAGACCAAAGTTGTTAAGCTGTGCCTTTAAATGGCCCCACGCTCCTCACTCCCCCACCCCTGCCAGATGTGGCAGGGGAAAATTGTCCCCGCCGGGTTTCTGTCCGAGGGAAACAGGCAGTACTGGATATTTCACATGTCCAGTATTTTCTGGGTTTTTTGCCGGACGGGGGACCCAACTAACGACCAGTCTGGGTGAAAACCAGACACCTGGCAACCCTACCGACAGTGGCCAATGCCAGGTGCCCAGAAGGAGTGAACAGAGCAGGCAATCGTCTAGTGATCCATCCTATGTCAGCCCTTCCCAGCTTCTGACAAACAGAGGCTGGGGACACCATCCCTGCCCAGCCTGGCTAATAGCTATAAATGGACCTATCCTCCATGAATTTTTCTAGCTCTTTTTTGGCCTTCACAACATCCTCTGGCAAGGAGTTCCACAGGTTGGCTTCCTTTTATTTGTTTTAAACCTGCTGCCCATTCATTTCATTTATTGACTGCTAGTCATCCACCCACTTCCCAAGCTGCTGTCTTTTAATAGCTTCGTATTGATTTAGACTGACAGAAATTGGAGGCACCCATAACACAACTCCATAATACATCTGAGTGGAGCAGTGCGACTTAACCCACAGCCACTGGGCCAGACAACTTAAACACTCCCACTTTCCCACTCTCTTAGATCTAGACATTTGGCTCATCCAGTTCTTCTCAAGCTGCCAGCTAAAGATGTTCTGGGGAGGACATTAGGAAAACAATAGTGCCATCTCGCATCACACTCTTGTGCCAAAGCTAGTGTTGGCTGGACACTAGCCAGGGGGCTATGGGGCACAGTGCCCACCCTGCCATCCAGCTGACCCCTGCTAACTAACTCAAGGAAATAACCGGGTTTTCCCCTCCTGACCACACCAGGGCTCCTGGCAGCTAGAGTGAGGAGAGGAGTCAGCATGGCTGAAAGGGGCTCCTCTCTGGCCCCCAAGGCCCCGCTGGACAGCCACACCAGCCAAGCAACCAAGCGTATGGACCATCACCAGGGTGCTCTAACAAACCCCATAGCTGTCCTTGGCTCCGTGCCTGGAGTCATCAGCAGCTGGCAGGGCTGCACCACGGCATCCCCGAGGAGGGCGGACGGGAGCAGCCCATCTGCCGTGTGATTTTGGCTACTGTTCCCTGCCCCCTCCCTGCACACGCACTCCGGAAGGGCTGCCCAGGGGCCGCACATGGCAGGGGGCTGGCAGCTCAGAGGGAGGCAGTCAGTGCTCCGTAGCGCAAGGATGCCCAGAGAAGATTCAGCCAGGTTCATGCTGGGGAGAGACGCCAGCCCCATCGCGTTGTGAGATGCGGATACCGAGCCTTGAGCGGGTCGGCTCTTTGGCACAGGGAGTCTGAGCATGTGGCACAAAGGGGCCCTGACCAGGATTGCCAGATGGTTGAAACAAAAATGCCGAATACGCCGCCCCCCCCCCCCCACGCCAAAAAAAAAAACACTGGGAAAAAATTCTGTTGAAGGAGTTGAGCAAAGTTGCCCAAAGTTGTTGAGAGAAAAAAAAAAAGGATTCTAAGGACTTATTAAGCCAAAAAAAAAAAAAAAAAAAGTGAGGGCGGCCGGGCGGGAAAGGGGCGAAGAGGGGGGGCCCAGCCGCTCTAGGCAGCAGCTTCCCCTGGTAGTCTGTGTAATTCTCACCTCCAGATCTCATAGGGGGGAGGTCGTCCAGCATTCCATGATGAGCCAGAGTTTTAAGTACAGCGAGAAGAGGGAATAGAGGTGCACCAGGGGAGAGGAGGGAATAGAGGTGCACCAGGGGAGAGGGAAGAATAGAGGTGCACCGGGGGAGAGGGGAGAATAGTGGTGCACCGGAGGAGAGGGGGGAATAGAGGTGCACCGGGGGAGAGGGGGGAATAGAGGTGCACCGGGGGAGAGGAGGGAATAGTGGTGCACCGGAGGAGAGGGGGGAATAGAGGTGCACCGGGGGAGAGGGGGGAATAGAGGTGCACCAAGATGTCAACAACAGAAGAGCCACGGTTGTCGGTGCTGCCAAGGGAAGGGACGGCACAGCAAGTGGAAGAGTTGCTTCTCCGCTTCCATGAAGGAGGGGGCTGCAGGGAGGGGCCGAGATGCTTTTTTTGTGACTGTACTGCCCGGTACGCAGTCCCGGCACCTCCAGACGCAGTCCCGGCACCTCCAGCCAGAACTCAACAACGTTTCCCCTGGAGTACCGGCCAGTGTTGTCTTCAAGTCGTCACTGTCAAGTCCAAGTCGAGTCTCAAGTCACTACAGTTCAAGTCTCAAGTCAAGTCTCGAGTCCCTAAAGTCACTTTCGAGTCAAGTCCCAAGTCGAGTCTCGAGTCTTAATTTAAAAAATGTCAAGTCGCTTTTGTACAAGCCGTCGATATCGGCATTTTCCAACAATTGTTTCACCAAGTCGATTTAACAAAGTTAGCAAGTCTCAAGTCGAGTCTCGAGTCACAAACAATGAACCTGAGTCGAGTCTCAAGTCGGGACTTGAGTGGGACTCGAGTTCAAGTCGTGGGACGACGACTTAAGTGGGACTCGAGTTCAAGTCGTGGGACTCGAGTCAACAACTCTGGTACCGGCACCTTTGTTTCTTTTTTCCAAAAATAAGCTCTGCCTACTAGGATTCCAAGGCCCTGCATGTTTGAGACAGTATAATCCCTGTCTCACTCGCACCCTAACCCCTCCCATTTTGGGGAACTCAGAGCAGAGTAACTGCTCCCCTAGAATGGGCTGCTTCTCTGCGGGAGAGCAAGAGCGGAAAGGGGGCACAAGTCGTTAGCCAACGCAGCAGGAAATGGCTGAGCAAGTGAAAGCAGTCTCCCCACCTTCATCTGCATCATGGGATTGCTTGATCCTCAGGTTGAGCTCAGTTCGTCTCATCCTTGATACCATACAGTGATCAAACCCTGATAACACGGCGCCCTGTATGAACACAAGAGCCGCATGCTTGGACAGAGCCCAGTTCTTTTGATTTCTTCCTGAGTGCTAGCCACGGGCTCATTGCAGAAGGCCACCAGCCTCAGCAAAGGCGGAGGTACCTTAATTGCACGTTTGACATGGACAAATAAAGGCGATGTTATCGGAGAAGTGGGCCGGAGCATCATCAAAAGCCTTTTCTCTGAAAGGCAGTTTGGACTGGCGCAAAAAACCAGTGTTCATCGATTGCGTCAAAAATCTGCCCTGCAGGCCAGCTGGCTGGCTGTTTGTTCAAGAGAAGCGGGTCTGAACAGTCATGCGAACTAGGGAGCGAAGTTCAGGCATGTGGATGGGAACAGGCTGGCAGCGCACACAGCGCGTGAAACCTTGTTAGGGGTCACATTGAAATCTTGTTCCAACTAATGCCTGACCGAACCCTTCCTTTCAGATAGCTGTGAGAGCGGTCCTGAGGCCGCTCCTAAAACAAGAAGGAATAGAAACTAACGCCACGCAGGTGAGAAAGTGCCGCAGGGTGTTGTGACCAGGCTTGCAGGCACACACAGAAATAACTGCCAAGAACACAGAACCAGGGGCAAAAGAGCCAGAAAGCCAAGCAGAGGCTGGGGAGCACAGTGTGACCCTGGGGAAAACTGGACAGTACTTTTGAGTCTGTTGGCTGCAGAGCTTTGGGGCTGCAAACTAAGAAACTGCTCCTGTTGCTTGTGGTTCCTCCTGTGTTCAGAGAAGCAGGACTTCATCCTTTCCTTGTAGAAAAAGGAGGTGGCGTCAAAGACGCCATCCATTTCTACTTCCAGCTGAAAGATCCCCATCCGCACCACGTGGGACTAGTTGCTTGGGTTGAAAAGGGACAACCCTACAGTAAGGAAGGGCGTCTCTGCACCGTCCCTTTTCATGCGATCCGGAGCTGCAGCGCTAAAGCCCTCTGTGAAGACACCTCCAGAAAGGGTTGGACACTGTAATGGCAACCCGGATTTTGAAACCAGCGAAGGGAATGGGCACTGTACCTCGAAACACAGTTTGCTTTGTGTCCCCTCTACCCCCATCCTCGGCAGCTTCCCTGCTGCCCCCCTGTATTTAGCAGCCACCTGCAGCAGGGTATTCCGGCAGCTGTCACACAGCACCTGTGATAGTGAGCTTTGGAAATGAAATTAAGAACCCTTCCAGACACCAGAAACTTTGGCTTAATAGGGACACTGGCTTTATGACTCATTGCCACAATTTGTAACACACTACCCAGCCTGTTACCCTTAATGCCCTGTTTCCAATTCTTTGTGCATAACAATTTCATTTTGAGCAACCTCCTCCAGCATGACTTCTCGCGCCTGCTTAACAGTCTGCCCCGATTGGTAGCTAGCTCCGACACTTGGCTTCCTCCCCCGCACCTCAAGAAGAGCTGTGCATAGCTCGAAAGCTTGTCTCTCACCAAGAGAAGTGTGTCCAATAAAAGATATTCTCTCCCCCACCTTGTCTCTACGCTGCTGGGCCCGACACAGCTATAACAACACTGCAAAACGCACGGGCTTAGGCAGCCCAAAGATAATTCGTGTGCGGAAGCCACTAGAGGCTGCTGAACACCATGGAATTCCGACCCGCTGTGGCTGATGTTTGTGTGAACGATGGTAAGAGATCCCATTTTCCTGTTGGCCTTCCTGAACACCATGGAATTCCGACCCGCTGTGGCTGATGTTTGTGTGAACGATGGTAAGAGATCCCATTTTCCTGTTGGCCGGGGCGAGGCACCCAAGTGTGTGTGAGCGGTGGGTGGGGCTGGGGGGGCACATGTTCAGCGTGGCGTGGGGCAGCCCTGGGATGTAGGCCGGGGGCGGCGGGGCAGGCCCTCCCTGGACAGGAGGCCGAAGGCTCGTGAGGCGTTCGTAGGCGTCGTGGGGCGTCCTGCTGGCGCGGCCGACAGGCCAGGCCCAGGCTTGGGGGTGGGCGCTGCCCCTCCGTGTGCGGAATAAATACTGCGCTGTGCACGGCCCGGCGCACGCGCCCCAGCCAGGGGGGCGCTCTGCCCTTGGCAGCCAGCAGGGGGAAGGAGAGGGGCATCAGGGCTGTGTCCCATGGGGGAGGAGCCTCGGCCCTGCCCCGCCCCCTGGCA